CAAAACTTTGTAGTAATGCACATTTTGTCAACCAGACGCCGAATAAATGCACTCACGACAATATATATATGTATATATATTGTCGTGGGTGCATTTATTCGGCGTCTGGTTGACAAAATGTGCATTACTACAAAGTTTTGAGATTGAAATTCATACTCCAACTCTTGCTCCAAAGAACCAAATATTTGCGCTCGATAATTAAAATGGCCCAACAGTGCCCATTTGGACAAAATCGTCGATTTTATGTCAACTCTATGTCCTTTCAATTTAATCTATATAAAGTTGATATAGAGATTATATAGCTATCAGATTTATATGATATGTGGTTGATATAGAGATAGCTTCTAAGCCACAGTCGTCGACTAAATCAACTCAATATCATCGCTATAGAGAGTTAATATAGAAGTTATATAAAGTCGACGATTGTGTCCAATTGGGCACTATTGGACCATTAGAAATAACACGCGCAAATAATCGGTTAGTTGAATAAGCTGTTTGGGGCCCTAAATTAAACTTTCACCGCCTTTTATCATTCTTCACGGTTTGAACTCATCTGCGAAGGGCACCATGTCAGAGTTCACTTCTCGCACTATGCCATTTACGTTTAACATCATGTGCTTGTTATCAAGCTGCAAAAACTTAATCAAAAATCTCACTGACGAGACGAGTGGTTGTTGGGGAGGACAACTGAGTAAAGAGAAGCATTGTCGTGCATGATTAAACTATTTGCGGAAGTCAATCATCGATAACGCACCATGGTACTTGCCTCCTGAGGGCAGGGGCTATGGCAAACGCGAGCATCTGCTCTTGCCACCGACCTCAGCTGCAGTGCTGTCCACAAGAAGGACACTAGTAGGCTGTTCCATCCAGCTGCAAACCGATTAAGATATTCCCTTAAGGAAATTGGTAATCAAACCAAGAACCGGCATAACTTCTAAAAATAGCACTCCCTCATTAAAAGACATTGAAATAGGGTCTTGCTATTTCGTGGGCCTTGGTTTCGATTTCAGAAAGCTACGATTTAGTTTGAAAGTATAATTCCAAAAGTTTCACCAAAAATGTCCTCCTTTATCGTGAAAAAAGTGGGCATACGAACCAAATAACATCGGAAGATCACAGACGACGCATAATCACCTAAGATTGTAACTATCAACATTATGAAGAGTTCTTCTTGAATGAGTCGCAAAATGTAGGCAACTTGGAATCTCTTCAAACTGATGCTAGTGTCATGCGCAAATTACCTCATTTTTTAGTTCAAATAAACAAAGAAGGGTAAAAATCAGTAAATACTCGTGAATGAACGTTCGCCGATCACTAACGGAATTCACTCGTCAGTCGTCATCAGAACATACTGAGCAAATTAGGCCAACCAATGAAAATATAGGAAAATATTCATGCGAATGGAGAGCAGGAGAAAGACGGCTCAATTTTGAAATTTAGCGACAGAAGTGTTAGTCTTAAAATTAACGTTAAGGTTATTGTTGTGACACGTGAATATCAAAGTTTCAGGGAATTTAGTGCAACGGCATCTGTATTACCAACTCACTGGGGTTCCCGTTTCGGCGTCTTACTGTCAGTTATTAGCAAAACGGCCTTTGTATCAGTCAGATATTTAAAAGTACATTGACAAATTAAATTGTTTTTGAAGGTAGTTGCTGACAAGGTGTGGCATTAATAAGTTTCTCAAATTTATTATACTGTGGTAAATATCTCAAATGAGAAACGTATTGCGCGAGCTATTCAACTAATGGTAAAAGGGAGAAATATTTTGGATAAAAATTCCAGGTACATTATTTCAGTCACTTCTATGATCTACTTGGATGAACAACTAATATTTCCTTGCTCTCTATTCCAATTCGAAGATTCCGACATCTATACCTAACTTTATCCGCGTTGAAAGCAAGCTAAAATTGTACATAACATTAGATGTTTGGTGCAGAATTCAGCTCATGGGGTTCTCTTTACTTTTCATATATATGGTTACTCACATGTATTTCATAAGATGACAAGTACATAAAGCAACATTCATAACGAAAACGCGATCTTATTCTACTCTTTTTAAAACTAACGGACGAAAATATACTTTTTTGGAATCAAAGGATGTCGTACCTTTGTTAATGCCAAAGGATGAATTACAAGAACACCAGATTTCGATTGCAATTAGTCGGTTAATACGTTTCTTTTCTCACTGGACTCGTATCTCTCCACTTGTTACCTTACTTTTTCTTTTGAACAATATCAAACCCAACTCGGCTTCCTTCAGTCGAAGCTCGCGCTATTAGCGCTCTTTTATCACATAGTAACAAATTACAGGGAGCAGCAACAATCTTCAGTAGGTCTGCCGGAAGTAGCAGATGGAGCATACCCCATTCTTGTAGTAAATTACTTCCGGGCGACTTTGTGACATTCGCCTTGGAAATAGGTCCTTTTAAAAGCATGTTCATATTTCTGACTTATTGGACAGATATGCAAATATCCACAGTGTCCTTACTCGATGACTCCTGCGCAATGTGCGTTGATAGGCTGGCAGTAACCAACTGGCGTCTAAAGAAAGAGCACGTACTAGAGCGGCATTGCCGCAAAAATGCATCCACCACCTATTCTCGGCGCCCCTGTCGGTACAGGCTGATTTATAGAACTGACCAGTTGTAGTCGAGCGCACGCAAGAGCTTGCCCGAAAGAAGTTCGTGCTCTGGCAGCAATTTGATTGGTTGTTGATTTCACTGGTAGGGGAAATAAAATAACAAACCTCACCAAATGGCAAGGACTGTTCAACGTGAGTGACGATGCAACGGCTGCAGTCGCGACTACCCAGCCTTATAATCTTCTGTTTTGGCTTATACAAAACCACTGAAACTCTACTTCAGACATCTGTGCGTCTGCAGGTTTATCATCTTGTCTGCAAATGGCTCACGAACAGCACTATCCGCGAGTACTTGTGCAGTCCAATGGCAAACTACAAGGGTTGGACGAATATCTCGGACACCCCGGCTGCCATACTCGGCTTGGTCGAATTGGACAATAGAATCCAACGCACTTCTGTACCCTATATTGTAACTTATCGCGTGTTACTTAACCTACCGGCTATGGTTACCTGTCTGGTACTCGGAACTCTGTCCGATACCCATGGTCGTAAGACAACATTTCTGGCTCCCATTGTGGGTGGAGCCCTTGCCTGTTGTCTGTTTGGTGTCAGTCTAATACGTGCTCTTCCACCGGTTCCGGATGGTGTCTCTTGTCTCCTGATCGGAGCCCTGGTTTACGGCTTGGCAGGGAAGAGTAACAGCTTTGGCATGGGTGCCAATAGCTACATCACAGATTGCAGCAATGAAGAGAAGAGGACTGTCTACATCAGTCATCTAATGGGAGCCAATTTCATCGGATTATGTATTGGTTCCGGTCTTCTCTCGTTATTCCTCTTCTTCACGGACTTTGGATGGATCCTTCTATTTGTTTGTCTAACTAATCTGGTGATATTTACGCTTATTTTGGTCTTCATACAGGAGTCTGTTATTATTCAGCCAGACTTAGGCGACTACGGGTCAATCGCCTATGCAGGAAACAACGGGGAGAACGAAGACCAAGCCAAAAGTGATAAGCGCTTCATTCAGATATTATACTCTGCCTGTGTCACCTCCTACAAATTTTTAGTAACGAAACGATCCAACAATGCTAATGTGTACTTGCGCTGTCTGTTCGGTGCTGTCCTCTTTAACCAGATCACCAAAGCAGGGGAACAGGATGCAATCATGCTTTACGTGACGCGCACACAGGTTGGGTGGTCTGATACCCTGTACGGTGCTTACATCGCCGCCTACTATGCTGCCATGGCCTTTCACCTCATG